TGAATCCTATTCCTAGGCTTTTTGAGAAGTCTTTTGTCAGCTGAAGAAATTTTTTTTCTCTTTACTGATAGTACTTCATGTTTTACTATACAGTTGAGCCCTGCTATCTTGATTAAGGGAAACAAAAAATAGTTCGAGATGTCGGGGGTTCGAGATAGTAAGTGACTGAAAAGTACGTATAACCAAGGGAAAATGATTTGAGTTTGAGTTAGCAGGAGGTTCAACCAACTTAGTTAGAGATAGCAAGTTTCTTTTAAGGTTTGTTCTGCAACAGAGTCATGGCAGATTCTGTTACAAATCACCCATTACCAAATTCCCTGAACATTGCAATTTGCTCACTCCCTCCAAAAAAACTCTCAGCACCTTCATCTTAGAGTACTAGGAGCATTTAAGTTTTGTGCAGGAGTGGAGATAAAGACTGCATACAAGCCATGTGGCCAATCGGGCTGGCCTTTATCCTGGTTTCTATAGAATGAAGTGACTAGGGCTATTTCTATTCCTCCCCTGGATGAGATGCTAGTCCATCGCAGTGTTACCCCTGGCAGCATTAAATTTGCTGGTACCCATTTATACACCTGGGTGGAGAGAGGTACTGTGAGAGTTAAGAGTCTTTCCCAAGAACACAATGCAATGTCCCCAGCCAGGGCTCCAGCCCAGACTGCTTGCTCAGGAGTTGAGCACACTAACCATGAGGCCAACACATCTCCTTTGGGAGTAGAGATACTTAGTCATAATTAATACCCAAAATTGCAGCCAAATTTCCTTTCCAAGGGAGTGAGTAGGGAGTCATGGTCAAATACAAGACTCAAAAGGGGCAGATTTACTTTTCCGGTGCTGATGTCTAACTTTGATTTTCTATTTTGTAGATCCCACACATGAAAGAGCTCAAGGAAATGTTGAATACTTTGGAGAAGAAGTCAAGATGTACAAGCAGACTGGTCGCAGAGGCGACACAGGAATTATCACTGATACGAAAGTGAAACCAAGGAGTGAGCGAGCTGACTGGCACCAAACATCTTCCTTCCAAAACTACGAAAGGTTGT